AGATTCGAGACTTGGTCCGACTTCTACCTGAATACGATCTACCGGCTGGGCTGCAGTCAAAGCAGTGTAAACGGTGCGGCGTTGTGGGGAGCAGCAGCGTGTTACACGGGTTGAAGCTGGGCTCCACCCTGAACCACTTTGACATTGTCATAAGGTAGGTCTTCGGTTTTTGCCGACGGTCACAAATGGAGAGACTGACTGGAACAGTGTCAGGGCTCCAAATAGCCTCCAAAAGTAAATCAGAGTCCAAGGCAAAATATTGCTCAAAGTTCCAATTGATGAAGAGAGCCATGTTGGCACATCTGGGAAAACCTGAATCCGAAGGCTTCCCAGTTTTCCCCACTGGTTGAAAGTTCAAGATCTTGCCCCCACACCCACCAGCCCAGCCCATAGTCCAATCTCCTACTGCCATGCTGGCAGTTCCACCCACCCAGTTCCAGTCAGGTGCAGAGGTGCAGAGACAAAGGATGACCTTGGCTTTCTAGAAAGAATGTTGTTATGGCTACATCGCATCTAACTCCGCACAATGCCCCCTCCCATTTCCCCACTATAGAAAATGCCTAGTAGAATAATAGAAAGTGTGGCAGGCCAAAGACCCCGAAAGAAAAGAGGGCGGCAGGCCTGACAAATAAAGGAGAGAGTTGGAAGAGACCTTGGAGGTCTTCTAGTCCAACCCCCTACTCAAGGCAGGAGACCGTAGACCAGTGACAGCGAACCTTTCAGACACTTGAGTGCCCAAACTGTGTGCCTGTGCAATTTTTTCAATATGATCCACCTATCAAAGTTCCGATGTTCAGCTGCATTGTGCATGTTGTGTTTTCAGGTTAAACGACGCACCCGTCCGGGGATACACAAATGATGTCGGCAACAGAACCACAATACGGATGACCTATCCTGAAGGAGCGCCTTGGTCTCAAGATGAATATTTCCCAAATAGCTTGTTCGTGGCAGTATTATTTAAGAGTGTTGATTTTGCATGGGTAAAAGCGATGGTGAAAAATGAATCATTAGTAAGTAATTATATTAAATATTGCATTTGTGTGAAATAGGCGACACCCGAATTGTACTGTTTACTATAGCAAGTTTCCATTTTGAATTTTCTCCCCCTAGCTGGCCGCTCTTAGTTTTCACTAAAATTGTTGGCTTTGGTAGAAGGAATATGCCTAATGTAGTATTACTGTATAGGTTCTATTGATGTGACTATTAAATACGTTGCTGTTAGCATTAAATGCACTGGCACCCTTTAACTGCCAAGCCACTCTGAAGTGGTTTACAGTGAAAAATTAGAAATAAACTAAAACTCAACCCAACAGAAACCAATATAACCATAAGAAATGTACCGAATTCCTTCTGAGTACAGATGTTTTAGAAAAAACACATATTTCTACTTCTCTTTAGGGTGTATATGCATTCATAGGCACACAATTCCCAATTTTTATGTTATTTTTTTCCTCCTGTTGTATATTGATTTTTAATTTGATTTTTGTGACACGCTTTCTCATTTAAATATGCCTAACAGGTTGCTTAATTCAGTGCCTCCACTGTGGGGTGGGTGAGGTGGGAAGATGCCTCAAAACACCCTCTCATTTTAACTTGACTGCTCCAGTTAGTTAGTTAGTTAGTTAGTTAGTTAGTTAGTTAGTTAGTTAGTTAGTCCTTCTTTCCATCTCTGGCTGGAGATACCAACTTTAGCCATTTTGAAAAACGTTTGCGGTGGCATTTCATTTTAGGGGACCTAGTCACCCCTGGCAAAGAATTGGGGATTACAAATAAGCTTCGCTTAGTGACGGCCAGGTTTAGTGACTACTTAAAGTTACGGTGGCGCCGAAAAGTAGCTTTGCGAACAATCCTCAGTTTGTGACTGATGCAGCTTCCCACGGTCACATAATGATGGCGACACACTTCCCAGCGAGCTTCTCAGGAGCCAGAGTTAAAATTGCAGCCCTGGTTCCCATGATGTCTTGCTTAACGGCTTGTGTGACTTGCTTAACGACCCCAGGGGAAGTAACAACATAACTCCAGCAGGGTCCTGGGGATGTTTGGATTAGTGACCGTGTCACTTAGTGACTGAGTTAACCTGAGCAGTGGCCTCTAAGTGAGACTACTGAGTGTTAAAATTTTTTACCTCCCGTAGAACTCCACTTACAAGAGTTCAGTTAGTGACCAACCAAAGTCACAGCAGCATTGGAAGAAAAGGAACATGGCCGTTTTTCATGTGAGCATTTCAGCATTTCTGTGGTCACGTGATCAAAATTCAGAGGCTTGGCAACTGGCATGTACTTACGACGGTTGCCGTGTCCTGGGTCACATGATCCCCTTTTAGGACAAGCCCAAGACAAGGGGAAGCCAGATTCCCTTAACAACCTGGTTGCTAACTGAAGAAGTGCCGTGATTCGCTTAAAAAACCGTGGGAAGAAACGTCATAAAACAGAGCAAAATCCACTTCACCGACGTCTCACTTGGCGACAGAAATGTTGTGCTCAGTTGTGGCCGTACGTTGAGGGACTAACCTGTAATTAAATTCTTCATGGGAGTAATTGCTTCACGTTAGGTTTGGATTTGGAACCTTGTGGTAATTTGTGTGTCTTTGTGTGTTGTTGTTGTCGTTGTGCAGCCGCTCTGGATGCACTTGTTCTTTTGGCAAAAGGTGGTGATGAAAATCCCCGTTAGTCCCAGGAAGTTCCGGATTTTGAACCCCATCCTGGTGAAGGAGACAGCGCTGGATATCCTGCAATACTCAGAAAGACACAAAGACACAAAGACACAA